GAGAGAGCAGGGGGAAGGGAGGGGGAGGGGGAGGACAGGTTAAGGGAGGGACCGGCGAACGGTAGGATGTTCGTGGGGGGAGAACACGATGGGATCCGGGAAGTTAAATGGCAAGATGTTCGCCAGAGGCGGGCCTGAGAAGAATGCTTACAGCAGCGGTTCTCAACCTGGGGGTCGCGACCCCTTTGGGGGTCAAACGGCCCTTTCACAGGGGTCGCCTAAGACCATCGGAAAACACATATATAATTACATATTGTTTTGTGATTCATCACTATGCTTTAATTATGTTCAGTTTGTAACAATGAAAATACATCCTGCATATCAGATATTTACGATTCATAACAGTAGCAAAATTACAGTTATGAAGTAGCAACAAAAATAATTTTGTGGTTGGGGTCACCACAACATGAACTGTATTAAAGGGTCGTGGCGTCAGAAAGGTTGAGAACCACTGGCTTAGAGAATGAAGTGGTGATCGAAGGCGGCTTTGGAGCCATCAGACTTGAATGCACACCCGCCTCTGCCCGGGACTCGCAGGGTCACGCAGGACACTGAGCATCAGAGAAGGAACGTCAGCTTTGTTATCTGTAAACCTGGAAGAAGAGCAGCTTCGCCGTTTAGATGAGTCAATGCATGAAAATGCGTAGAACAAGGCTTAGCACACAGTAGGCACGCGAAGGTTAGCTGTTAGCGTCACGACCCACCCCCTAAGGGTTGCTAAGGTGGGATGGACTAATATTTACATTTTAACATATTTACATTTTACAACATAAACATATTTACATTTTACAACATAAACAGTTGCTGACACAGCTTCAAAAGAATGGTAGTGGCAGGAGGGGAGATGTAGGGAGGGTGGCAGGGGAGTGAGAAGTGACTGGGAAGGGAAGGGTAATGGGGGGAGGATGGGACCAGTGGGGGGAAAGGGTAACGATGCTCATCTCTCCATTTGCACCCCACCCCTGGCCAGCATTGTGGAAAGGGCACTAGGACAGAAGCTGAAACTTGCAGTTCTCCTGTGCTCTGGACGGAAGTCTGCGGGGTCGCGTAGTGCCTGTGGGGGAAAAGCACTCTGCCATTCATCTATTGCTACACAAAGAGGTTTGGAAAAGGAAAAAACTGATAAAGATGTACAAGAATTAGACACATCCTACTGAATGTGGTGGTGGTGGTGGGTAGAGGGCAGACTTTTCGCCAGCCTTCCCTGCCCTCTCAGATTCCCCCGCAGAGCAGGAAGGGAGGGCAAAGGATAGAACTGTGATAAGAGAACAGGAACTGAGGGGGGAGGAAATGCTTCTGCTGGTAATTTTCTGTAACAGAGGACACAGGAAGGACATGGACAGGATACCACAAAGGAATTTTTCTGATTGAGGCTGAGCCCCAATCACTTCATGCACGGTGTAGAAAATGGGCAAATATGATTTCTGCAAAAAAGTAGACAATCGCTTTAAAAAAAAAAAACTTCCTAGCTAGGATAAATAGAATTATGTTGATTTAAACTAGGTTAAATATAGTTTTCTGAAAACATGTTTTTAAGAAAATCTTAACATATAGGACCAGTGAATTATTAACTTGCAAGTTTTTTCCCCAAAAGAACATCCTAGCCTAGTTGTGTTCAGAATAAGCTAGAGCACTTATTAAAACGGATTAATATATGTGCAAGCATCAAAGGCTTAGCCTTTCTGTCCCATTCTGCAGCTGGGCAAGGACAAGGTGACAGCTGATGTGTTTTATTTTTTAATTTTTTAAGAAAATTTAACTGCACTCCTCTGATAGGCAAAGAGAGTAGGTAGTCAGAAACACTTAACAAGCATAAATATCTACATTGATTGATAAATAATTTGCTTATTACTTCCCCATCTCTTCCTGCCTTCCAAGATGCGGACTCACTGTCTCTTGACACTTTGACAGATTTTCCAAGCTAAGTTTGGTGAAGACTGATGAATCCTTGAATAGAAGACCCACGTGCTCTCTACTCCCCAATTCATTCCTAGCGCTGTATCCATAGAGTACTTGAAACTGTAACCGGACAATCAGTGGGTCCGTGCTGCCTGTCACTACTTGAGCCAATTAAGCAGAGACAGAGTTGAATCATAAAAGCATTTACCCCAATACTGCCGACAGTATGGGAGAGCAGCGGGTCATCCACAAAAATCTGCTCTGCACCCCACCATAAGCAGGCTGCTTATATTGGGTAGAAGGATAGAGATTACATGGGAAGTAGGCAAAAGGTAATGCCAAATGGGCAGTTTACAGGTAATGCAGGCTGGAGATTTGTAAAGGCCTGCGGGTATGTAAAGGGCTGAGTGTCTTCAAAGGGCTGGCAGCTCTGGTTTCTGCAACAAGGTTGTTAATCTTTCCGTGATAACAGGCAGCTCCAAATAAGGAGGATGGGCCATATTTCCAGGTGAGGTCCCAGGTGCGTGCAACTCCCAGCCAGGTTAGAATGCGCTTTCTTTAATCAGAACAAAACAATCACGGTTAACAGAGCATGATTAATATTTCTTACAATTATAGCTGGTCCCAATATACTATTTCTGCTCCTATCAAAACCATCTTCCTGATGATATAATAATTTATATATGGGCCAATCTGGTGGTTAATAAAGAACACCAATGTTAAGTGTAGATACTTTTGAACCAATCTAAATTGGAATCCTGCTTCGTCATGTATTTGCTCTATGATTTTCATTAAGTTGCTTTTCCATTTTATCTATAAAATGGAAATTAAAATACCACATAATGGGTTGTTTTTCTCTACACAAAGTTGGTTGAACAGTAGGCTCTCATGCGAAAAGCCACAGCTTGCCAATATTGTCAGTGCACCAAGGAACGCGTAAGGCCAATGGACCTTGGGTGTTAGCAGGGCTGATGATAAGCACCTCGTCTGTTGAGATAGTGATGTTCCTAACCTGATAATCCTTTTACTGTTTACCCAACTTTACCTTTGGTATGCCTGTATGCATTGCTAAAGGGCAAATGTGTATTCAAGTAAATAAATAGTGGACTAGGCCAGAAGTCGGTGTGTCTCTTCAAGAAAGAGGCTCCACCTGGCTCCTAATGCCTTCTAAATTCGTATTTCTTGTATAGCATTTTCATTTATGCGTCGGCCCCTCCTTCACGGCATCTCAGTAATTGGGTTTGTTACTATTATTGTTCTTCCTCTGAACTTACTGTTTTACTTCTCACCTAAATGGTAAGACAATAACTTCTCAAATTGACCAGCAAGCAAATACTTCAATCTCAGCTGAAAGTTAAGATGGGCATATCATAATTAAACTGCTGAAAGCCAAAGATAAAGAGAAAATCTTAAAAGCAGCTATAGGAAAATAACACATCACAAATATTGAGGAATAACAATCCTAAAGGTCACAGATTCTCCAGCAGCTAGTATGAATGATAGAAAACAGTACAACAACATCTTTAAAGTGCTTTTAAAAGAAAAAGTCAAAATATCCCTGACTGGTGTGGCTCAGTTGGTTGGCGCATCATCCTGTACATCAAAAGTTGCAGGTTCAATTTCTCATCAGGGCACATACCCAGGTTGTGGGTTCAATCCCTGGACAGGGCATGGGTGGGAGGCAATTGATGTTTCTCTCTAACATCGATATTTCTCTATCTCCCTTCCTGTCTCCAAAATAAAATTAAAAAGATGTCAAAATAATATATCCAACAAAAACATCTTTCAAGGATAATGGTGAAATAAAAACATGTTTAGATGAAGGACAACTAAGAGAAAATGTTGCCAGCAGACACACCCTTCAAGGCATGCTAAAGCAAATTCTGGCTAAAAAGAAATGATCCCTCCTTGAACTTGGCCATTTAAGATGAAGATTAAGAACGGTAGCTCTGGCCGG